CAGCCCCTGCCCCCCCCAGCTCTGCCGGTGCCCCTCACTCCCGACCCGCAACCCCCCACTAGCCCAGCCCTGCCAGTGCCCCTCACTCCCACCCGTCCCGGTGGGGCTGGCCCCTGGTGGGGGGGCAGGGCGGGAAGGGGCGGTATTTGCCAAGGGGGCGGGCGGGTCCCAGCCAGTCCCAGTCCGTGTCTGGCCGACATGCCCCAGAGCCAGCTGCAGTGAGGGGGGAGCCGGGCTGCAGGACACCTCGCACTGGGGCAGCCCCATAGCCGAGAGCAGGGGGGGCCAGAGGGGACCCTCCCATCCCAAGACCTCCAGGTAAGGGGTCCCAGAGCAGGGGGGATGCCCAGGTCGTTGGGGGAGGGGAGGACAGGGAGGTTTGGCGGGCACAGGGGGGTGGGTCCAGCACAGGTTGTAGGGGAACCTCAGGGAAGAGGGGTGCAGGGGGGGGGGGCTCTGGGCAAAGATCCCGGGAGGGGGGAAAACAGGGGATCCTGGTGCTGGGGGGGAGGTCTGGGGGGTGCAGTGGGTCTGTGCGGCTGTGCCGTGGGGGGTCTGTGCCCCACTGACTAGGGGACGCTCTGGTCTCCCAGCCTGGCTGTTATGGGGCCAGGCAGAGGGTGTCAGCTCCCACCCCACTGACATGGGGGCCGAGACCCCAGGCCCCCTATCAGGGCCCTGCCTGACCCCCTGCTCTGTCCCACAGGCCCCCGGCAGGATGGGGGCAAGGGTCCTGCGCTGCTTCTCCTGGGCCGGGCGCAGGAAACGCCGCAGGAAAGGGGGCCCCAGCCCCCCAGGTGAGAGCACCCCCGGATCCCTCCTACCCCCACGTCCTCCTCCCTGCCCCCATTTCCCTCCCTGTCCATGCCTACATCCCTCCTACCCCCCAGATCCACCCCCGATACCCCTGTAAGGGGCGCCCCCCCAAAGATCTACTCTGCCCCCCATCTCCTCCTCCCCGCCCCCCTCCCTGTCCACCCCTGCAACCCCCCAGATCCATCCCCGTTCCTTTCCATGGGTGCCCCCAACCGATCTGCCCTGCCCCCACATGCTCTCCTGATTCCCCTCCCCAGAGCCCCCCCATCTTGCCTGATCCCCCACCCCTGCACCATCTTTCCCATTCGGGCCCCATTCCCTGAGCCCTCCTGTTCTCAGCTCACACTCCCCCCTTCTCTGCCCCCCAGCTGCCCGCGCCCACCCCATGGAGGGGCCCCCGGTTCCCCACGCCCGCCCCACGCCCTCCACCAGCAGCGAGCCGGACGGGGCCTTCTTCAGCGGGAAGGCACGAGTCTCCTTCCGCCACCAGCTGGACTCCGCCACCACGGCCCTCGACGCCACCGGCTGATGGGGGGCCGCCCCACGGCGCCCGCCAGCCCCTCACGGCCTCGCCCCCGCCGGCTGACGGGGGGCCGCCCCACGGCACCCGCTAGCTTCCCACGGCATCGACTCCACCGGCTGACGGGGGGCTGGGACCCACCCGAGTTGGCGCGTGGGATTCCTCCCCCCCACTGAGGACGCTCGCCTGGGGGCGCTATGGGGGTGGACTCTGGGGGGGGGTTGGTGGGTGGGCTCCTGCACGGGTGGTCGCGAGTGTGTGT